CGGGAGAAATTTTCATTGTTTGTTGTATTTTCATATCGCAGTTGCAATTTTATAAACAAAAGTCACAGGATTTTGATTGGGTGGAAACGCACATGTCAACACGTTAGCTGAGTAGGTCCGATTAAATCATTTCATCTACTTTTTTACGATGTTGATCACCATAGAAATGATTCAATGTCATTTCCCTATGCCAATCGATTTGAAATTATTTKCTATGGACAGAAAAAGCACACGATTATCGAAAATAAAACAGTAGTCAAATAWATAAATCAATTTATGATCGGCAAATTTGAGGCTCACGTAAGAGTCAAAGCATGAAACAYGCTGATAAAATTGATTATTGACACTTCATTTTCTAAAACTTTTATTGCGACTAAGATCATTAGTTATTAATGATGTGACCAAAAGAAAAGAAAAAGGAACTTTCTGCGAGGACTAGAGTACATCAGCTTGTCATGTTTACCTTTAGTTTGTCTTTAGTTTATGTGATCGCATATCTTTCTACTCCATCCACATCTCAAGCTACTGATCAGGGCAACAAATTCAATGCAGCCGAGAAAAAACATATGCAAGAAGCAAACTCGAGTTTTGGATTTGCATACTTTGTTAGAATTCCAAACAAAAATTTGGACATCAAACCCTTCAAAGTTGTGAATGCCAAAACGTACAAAATGTGCTTAGTTGACTGTGCAGCAGATCAGAAATGCGTCTCTTTTAATTTTGCCAACACGGCAAACTCTAATGGACTGCATTTGTGTGAAATGCTGGATACAGACATTTTGAACAATACTAAACTTCTCAAAAACAAGGACAACTACCTCCACTTTACACTCAAGGTAAGAACGCTAAGTAAGAGTTACCGAGAACGGAGGCATTACGCTATGTACTTATAGCGTAATGCCAATTTGCGAGGTAACTAACAAACTTAGTTTTCAATTCACGTGGTTTTCGCAAAAACTGAATAGACTAAAATGAATGTTTTCTTAGTTGGGATTCGAACAATAGAATCCTCTCGAGACCCTTTCATGGACTTTTGAAATTAGTTTCCTTTAAGAAAACCTGTTCGTGCGAAAGCGATCAATCGAAATTTGAATATTGTTATCAAAACAGTCATTCTGGAAACGATGTCGAACAGTGACGACGATTTGTGTATAGCTCAAAATACGTTTGACATCATTCCTTTGCCGAACTTTGATATTGACTATTTGAGTCGGATTTGGAACTCCGTATGCCTCTGCCCGCAAAAATAACGATGACAAAGTCTGCAGATGAGAAAAACAAGAGAAAAATTACAATAGTTTTTGATGTTGARCTCGCYCAAAGAAATACGAGGGAAGGATTCCAGAAGGAACAAACTAAAGTACCAAATGGCCGTGTCTACGTGCTTGGACCGAGGAGCGGAGAAAGTACGAGTTACACTATTACTTCTGATTCATACACGTTGGCCCAATTTCGACGTATAGATTCKTAGTTAAAAGTAACGAAGATGRTTATTGTTATTTCTTTTCTCTGATGAACACGAAGAAAAGCTGCGGGACTCGAACTTATTACGCGCTCAATCTCCCGTCAAGTTTTGCTAGTCGCACTGGTCTTTTTAAGGGAAAAATAGTTTAGTTTACTAAGTTTATTTGATATGATTCAGCAGGGAAATGTGGGGTTGATGAATTGAATCGAATAGCTGGTTATAAATTCAGCGGGCTATATATGAGTGATAAATCCCTCCCCGGCTTTAAGTTTCTATGGTATATACAACCCTATGAATAACAAAGAAAACCAAGTGAATTGGAAACTAATTGTTTAAAAGTCCCTGCATGGCCTAGCA